GCATGCACGCACACGCACCCGGCGTGATTTTTCAGGGTCAAGGACACGAACCGCAGTCGACTACGTGGGAGTCCAGCAACATAGCCATTACGCTAACTGCTGGTTCCTGGGAAAGTTAAGTTTTTGATGAAATAAGTTTTCTCTAAAATAAGTCATATCTAGTGCACTTCCACTGAGAGGATTAGTATTGTTTACATTTACTAGTTTCACGTGCAGTTTAACACAAGTGGAGGGACCAGAGAAGTGTTGCTCATCCCAGGCAGTTCCAGAAGGAAATAGATCCATGCTCTGTGACGAGCTGCATGGGTGTTTCTTCATTTCTGTAGCTCCATTTAACTCCCTGTTACCCATGTAGCCTACTATTTCATGCTACATTTTCTTCCACTGAGTCACGTTTTCTTGATCAGGGTTGTTGAGAGGATCAACGAAGATGATGTATGCAAAGTGCCTACTGCACATGGCAGATTCCAGTACATTTCACTCAACCCTGAGACTCATGTGAGCAAGAGGGGCGCAGCATTGTTCAATATGCCCAGTGTCTTCCAGCCTAAGGATCATAGATTCAGGGAGAAAGGGCAGTACAGACGGAAGTCTAAAAACGAAGGTGCTGAAAGGGAGCTCAGTTCAGCCATCTAGAAGACGGAGGAGAGAGGCTAGGGGTGGGGACTCTTGTGCAACTTTCACTAGCCTCTCAGTGGCAGTGAGCCTGTCTGATAACCTGCAGGATAGCATAGCTGCTGCAGCAGGTGACATAGTGAAGGTGGCACTCTGCTGACCATTTCTGGCCTGATGGCTCAGGAAGCCCTGGTCTTGCCTATTGTGTTTTAATCATTTTTTTTTTTAAAGACGCAGATGGAGTTTTTATTATTCTCTGAAATTATAGTATCTTTGAGGTTTTTGTCATGATTCTTCCCGATCAGACTTCCATTCGTGACACCTTCTTGAGAAATGCTGGCTTGTTGGCATCTCGGTGAAGGCGAGTCCAATTCTAGCAGTTGCCTGAGTAAGACGGGATCAGAAATGGAAGCCAAGTTTCTGCAGTACTTAGATTTCTAAGAAGACTTCTTAGACTCGTTCATTTACAAAATGGAGAAAATGTCCTCCTGCCTTACAAAGACCTGAAAAGTGCTGTGAAAAATCTTTACGCATAAAAACAAACGAAAGGCATCAGCATTAAAGAGCAGCCGAGAGACGGCATGAAGCGGCATTATGGGTCCAGCTCCATGTTCTTCACATAATTTAGATACTAGCATCCCTCTCTCTTCTCCACAGAGTACTTTATGTTGGAGGCAAATGTTTAAAAACTCTCAAAGCCTTGTTTTAGATGTTGAGAGTAATTAAAAGATTGCTAAAAATGTTACTCTTTGCTTTTAATGAGCTAATAGGGTAATCAGCACGATAAGAGATGAATATAATGAATTATAATCAGTGTGAGTCAGGGGAAGGCCACAGACAGTGACATGCGAAATACTGCTGACTGAAGTTCAAAGGAGAGAGATTACAGCTAGCAGGTGGGAACAGTGGACATTGGGCTATCTGAAGGCGGTAGTTGTTTAAATGTATGACTATATTGGGAGGATAGAGGGTTATCCTGCTGACCTGGGCATACTGAGAAGGATTCTGAATAATTTCTCCACAATGTCTGTCAAATGAATATGAAAAAAAAATACTGAATGGTTATTATGCTTATTTTATGAAATATCAAGGAAATGATATCTTATTTTAGAGAGGTAGCACAGGAAATCAGAACTTGGAGCTCCCAAGGAAATCCCAGTATTCCTTATTTTACCAAAGTAAGTGTTTCTATATGTAAAACTGAGACTAGAGCCTGAGGAATAGTCAAAGTTCTTTTTACCAGAAAAAAAAAAATTAAAACAGAAAGTTCTGTAGAATAAACCTAACACATTTGATAATCAATAATTATTTATGTAAATTGTATGAACCTAAATGAAAATGACTATGATTATTTATTTAAATTTCATAGAACAAATTACAGAATTTCATTTTATTTAAATTTTTCAGAAGGCTCATGAACTCACCAGAAAGTCAAAGAGACAGAGAAAGAGAGAATGGAAGAAAGTGGCCTCTCTCCCCATGGGGAATGGTCACCATGACCTCTTCTCCTCCATTTCTCCCTCTGTCTGAGATTTTGGGCACCCATCCATATCTCCTGGAATATTTTTCAAGCTGCCAGGTCCAGGACTCATACCTTGCAGTCGACTATATGGGATCCAGGTCCTGAACCACCAGGCCACAGGCGAAGCAACCAGATGGTCCACAGCATTTTAGATTCTCAGGATTCATTGTCTAAAATCTTTGGGGCTACAAAGATAGGGAGTACACAGCTCTTTTTTCAAGACATAAATAAAAAAAACACAAGAGAAAAACAATCGGTGATTTGATGACAATGCAGATTTGTTTCAGAATTTACTACATAAGAAAAAATATCTTTATAATAGTCCTGACAGAAATAAATTTTATGTAATTAATAATGTGCAATGGTAACATCAAAACATGATAGAAAATGCATGCCTCCAGAGTGAATAAATGATTGCAATCTGAAAAAAATGTACTATTTGCAATGTTGTATTGCATATCAAATGGCTGTTCAAGATTTTAGTTGCCATAAAATATTCTTTACAGTATATAATTGAGTTTTTTCAAGTTTATAGTACTCATGTAAATTATGCTTTAACTTGCACATGCTGGATATTTTGGATTGTCGGAAAAGTCATGATGCTTTTTAGAAAAACACAGAAAAATACATCATAACTTTTCTGACAACCCAATAGTATGTCAGGAAATGTTAAGTGGAAATGAAGCAGCTATTCCCTTGATACCTTACAAGGATGAGAGTGTCAGGCATTTCCTCTGAAGTGTTGGTTAACTGAGAAAAGGGCAGCATGAAAATACGAAGCAATTTCAGCAAATTTTAGTCAATCTGAAATATCCATGCCAAAAGGAAACCATTATTTTACAAAATATTCTTTTACGGAGTGAATCATTTTACCTAGTTCCATTGCTTTTAGCAATTTTTAAAACTTTTATAGATTATCAGATGTATTTTTTGTCAAATCAAGTGCCATTGGTTATTTATTTATTTATTTATAGGGTTTTTTTTTTTTTTTTTTTTTTTTTTCTAGAGTGTGCGTGTGTGCCAGAGAGAGATGAGAGAGAGAGAGAGAGAGAGAGAGAGAAATAGAAAGCGAGAAATCCCCTCGTCCCCGGGGGGATGACCACGCTGCAATCCCTTCTCCTCCATTCTCCTCTCCAGATCTTGGGCACACATGCACACACGCCCAGCATGAGTTTAAGCCGCTGGGTCTGCGACTCAAACTGCGGTGGACTACATGGGATCCAGCTACATAACCATTATGCCAACTGCTAATCCCAGCCATTGGTTATTAAAGGAGAAATGTAATATGTTTTCTTTTCCTTTTTTTTAATGGATTTTCATGAATCCTTGTGAAAAAAATCTATCTTCAAAAGATAATAAAAACACGTGCTTAATTTTGAAAAGCTCTGAAGCTAACAGTTTTATAAAGATTATATATAGTATCCTTACATGATCTCTGTACCTAGAGCTGCAGATGGACTGAACGATCACATTTGCCTTTTTGAAACCTTGTCACCCAACTTGAATAAAAGAACACTCTCCAGAGACTCACCGCTCACCTCTAAGTCTTCAGTCGTTAGGTCTCTGTGAGGAGATAGCATGTTAAATACATAGCTCACCTACCAAAAAGGCAAGTCGATGACAGTAATGGGGGTCTACGTAATGGCCACTTTTTTAAATTGCCACGGATGAATGCACTCTCTAGGGAGGGGGAGAAAAAGAAAGCACTCCTCAGTGGAGTGTGGTTACAGCACAATCCCTCCTCCTCCATGTCCCTGTCCTGCTGGGATTTGGAGTATGCGCATACATATGTTTTTCAAGCTGCTGGGGCCAGGATTTGAGCCGCAGTCAGCCAGGCAAACATCTGGCTCTCTTGACCACTAGGTTACGGGGCTGGCCGACAATGGCCACTTTAAAAGCCTCTATTTATTGTGCAGTGACTTTTTGAGAATAAGAGGTTCTGCCACAATTTTTCTCACTGCCAATGTGGACCTTAAAATGATATAGCTAAATATTCAAAAGATTGAATCTCCCCATCCCTTTCAAACGCTTTTAACCTTTCTCAAAGAAAGATGGAAAGAAAGAAATGCTTCCATCCTCATCACAATGTGTTTTTTACTTATAAAATCTGATATGTCATCATAGCTAGAACCTCACTGGATAAAATACATGAAAAAAATGCAAACATACCATGTGATTTCTTCTCCTAGAGAGTCTTGGAGCTCTTTCAAGAATTTCCCATCTTGATAGCACAACATTAACTTTTCCTTAGATTCCAAGATGATAAAAATCAAGAAAGCTCTTACTCTAAAGTAAAAGCCCAAAGGCACCAGCCCAGAACGAGTCTCCCCAGCCCTGAGAAGCCTGCAGTTCTCGTTTGGGGTCACATCTCCCCTGGGTTGTCACAACCACAGAACTAACACAGAGGGTGTACTTCTAGGTATCAGTATAGGAACCACGAAATGACCACAGGGAATGGTCCTCAAGAAATTGCTTGAGGGGAAGTGTCTGGATTTGTTCCTCTCAGTGTTCCCAAGCGTGGGAAGGCGTTGTTTGAAAACAGGACAAAGCAAACACCACCTACTTCCTGGGACTGAAATGCTTTGTATGTGTTGTTATTTGCAGTGCATGCCAAGACATTCATGAGCACCAGAGCCGAGCTGGCGAGCTAATTAAATATATTATGTATGTGTTTAAAACAGCCTAATAAGGAGCATTGGAAATCTTCAAGATGAGCGAATATCTTATAACTTCTTCCGCAGGTGCGAGGATAGCTACAAGCCATGGACTTTCTGTCCTGCTTCTTGTTTGTGGCTTTGTGAAGGGTGCTTTGCTTTAATCTAAAGTGCTGACTTTTTTCCAATATCACTTTCTCTTCTTAAAGCAAAGAGCAAATCGCCTGTAAAATCTACGGAGCGGACAGCAAAGTTGACCCTAAACTCCAAGCACCACTCCGCACCCACTGTACTCTAATTACCTACACAAGGAGCGTCTGCTTCCGGAGGCATAAACGAAGAGGCTATCACACGCTTTGTTGATAACATTTTCTTTGGCAAATCACTGATCTTTTATTTCAAGAGAATTAGTGTGAAGTGATAGAACATTTTCTAATAACAAGATCTATTTTTTTTCCTTTTCTTCCGGCGACTAAAATCATCATCTCACTGACTGCACAGGGGTTGGCCTGAACGTCATCTGTATGGTAATGTCATCCCTAGTGACACCATAGTGGTGTGGATACCACCGCTTTCCTGCTAAAGGACCCACTCCCTGCAAGAAGCAAACAATGGTCCAAAGACTACAGAACACAAACTAGCATCAAACAAAACCCCTTTTTGTGGGCAAGTGCAAAATTATCAACACTGCAAGTCAACAAGGAGAACATTACTTTAAATAAGGAATAAAAAAAGAAAGGCTTTTTTTTTTCTTGGATTTTTTCTTCCTTTTCTTGATTGCAGTTTTCCTGTTCGATGGTGGCAAGCATTTATTCTGGCCAATCCCTGTCAATTCTGGGAGGTTTATATAAATACAGTTTCAATGTTCTCTATTTCAATGTATTTTAATTCATTTCGCGATTCCTGTAAATGCAAACCTGACAAATTCTGTAAATTGCTTATAGTATGTGTGATATAACTTCAATGCAGATATACTATGACCCTCATGCAAGCTGACTTTTATCATTCTCTATATAAATATATACATATGACTCTATGTTGGGCCACCCACCAACCTTTTCTGATAAAGCATCTGTTTTTCATTTAGAATTCATATGCTGTGTCAATTTCATAATGCATTGCTTCATGTCCATAGGTTTGACAGCTGCAGATGGTCTTGGTGGTCTTCTGCTTCCTCCTGGAAAAATCCATATTCAAAATCGTATCAGTTTCTGATAAATGAATTAGTTTTGTTGTGTGTATGCTATGTTGGAATTTGCTCTGTTCCTTTACATATGGTATTTATTGAGGTTGGAGGGTCTCTTGACTCTGAAGAATGTACACACTGGTTTTGACAGCTATCTTTATATTATTATCATTAATCTTGTCCGAAAGGAATGTTGCTTCCAGAACGCTTGTCTTGCAGGTAAATGTGGGGAAGGTAAAGTAGTCACTATGATTCCCTGAGTTTAGGGGAGAACACTTCTTGCTACAGCTAAAATGCTGCTTCCTTTGGCCTTTATAAATCTCCGTTGCTTTGTCATTCTGTTATTTGCTGCTAATTATATCTTCATGTCTCCTAATTAAAAATTAAAATTTGGTTGCTAGCTAAATGCAGTATGCAAAAAAATGACTGCAAAGCCCCCAACTAAAGAAAATAATGTGTATAATTTTCACTAGTTAAGTGGATTATAATTTTAATATTCTATTCTGATCTTTGTCTTTATGATAATTCAGACTATCTTATTTAGAACCTGTTTTCTACTCCGGCAAAGAAAGACAGACAGAGCTATTAACGGGTTCCATATACACCATGGGATAGATATGTCTTGAAAGGAAATGATCTAAGTTTTCTTTCCAGAGAGATTCTTCCATTTTCTTTCATTACCAAACCAGAAGATCATCTATGTGGGGTCATGAGCCCCCAACATAAGGTCCTAACTGAAGCTTGAAGGCAATGAATACCTCTGCTTTTCAAAGGTAAATGCCCTCATTTTCTGCAATTCAATTATAAGCAGTGTGCATAGTCTCCTCCTATTTTTGACATTGTCTTCTGAGAAACAATGTTTCTTCCTAAATCTATTATTGCCATTCTTCTTGTTCATTTGGTTTATTTTAGTCTAATGAGAAAAATAAAGGTTTGATTGCGCTATTTTATTAACCTAGAAATGTATTTTCTTTCTAAGTTTAATACTTAAAACTGAATAAAACAATGGTAAGATAAACTCCATTAATTAAGCCTAGCTGGGCTTTAAAGATTGCATACGTTAAAGCATAAATTAGTAAACAGGTTCAAATTAGTGAAGCCGGGAAAATCCAACATCTTATGTGCTTGTGCCTGAAGTCCAGAAGGTGAGACCAGTCAGTTCTAAAGCAAGGCAGATTTGTACCTGTACTCACCGTGTTTACTGTGCTTATAATAAACGGCATATGCTAGTTTGGGGATAACTCTCCCAAGACTCATTGAGTCAGTGTCCAAAATAATGAAGACCCATTTCTCACTGCACTACCAAGACTCCAACTCTCTGGGCACTTGGAGAAAGAACATGGTACACTATTTGCTCCAAACTCAGAAAGTTAATATGGAACCTTAGTTATTGGAATAGAAACTATAAGAAATCAAAGAGACTTCCTAGTGGTTTTCACCTTCTATTGTATCCCTCTGGGACCATAACTGTGTGTAACCATGGCTACAGAAATGAATAAAGATCGAAAAATAAGTTATTTGATTTGCTCAACCTTGTCTCCAAGGTTATGTAATGTCTGTCTTAAGAGAATGCATTAGGATGCTGAGATCACTTACCCCAATTCAAGGCGAAATACATTTGTTCTTTCTGAAGACTTGCAGATTGCTTCCAAATAAAACAATGCAAATGGATATACTTGAAGATTTCAATAAAATAACAAAAAGTATCTAGAGTAGAAACTCTTAATCTAGGTTAGTAAATAAGCTTGTTGGAGTTCATGAACTCACTAAAATTAAATCTATTTTTTGCATATGTATTTTTTTATGGAACTGGTCCTTCGTATGCATTGATTCTGAACGTGATTTGATTACAGTTTGCTAGCCTAAAAAAGTCCTTAGATGGCTTTGAGCACCTAAGAGGACCTGATTTATTATAATTTTGTACTAGTTTGCCTTAAAGTTTTTGGAAGCAAGACATGTTTAGGAAATATATTAGGACACACACATACTGAGCAAAGAAAACATATTTCTATGTTCACAAAAGTTTCCTTTAATTTGTTATATGTTGCATGGAATACTAGATACAGGATGATATGTGTTGAAAGTTTAGAATGGATGGTAACATCATTTTGCAAAGAATACACAGATATCATTCAAATAAATGATCCTGGTATTGATCTTACATAAAAAGCAAAATATTAACTATAATTTAGTGCTAGTTTCTATAAGAAAAAAAATGTGATCTATCTGAGATAATACATAGACTCAGATGATTGAATCTTGGAATTAAGACTAAGTAGCTACAAAATACATGTGCATATCATTTTAAATATTAATCATAAATAATGTTCTTTTAAAACTGCTTATTAATTATGAGAGCATTCAGTCATTTGGGACAGGTAAAGATCTCAGGGTATTAGAGAGAAAGTAGTGAAAGTCCTTTCCTATATCTGGAGAGACATAAAATAGATAGCCAAAAGCAAGAAAAGATAAGTTACTGATCAAGTCTAAGACAAAATGTCCAACAGTATGATATAGACTACCGCGATGGAGTCAGGGGAGGTTGCTCTGAGGAGGAGACATCCAAGCCAATTTGGAATGAAAAGAAGCCAGTCGAAAGATGATCTGGGCCAAGAGCTTGTACAAAATTCCGGAAGTGAAATCCACCTTGATTTGTTCAGGACAAAAATGGCCAAGAACAGGAAAGTGATGGGGAGAGAAACGTGAGATCAGATCAGGCACAGGAACTTCGGACAAGACGAAGACAAGGAGCGAGAACAGGACAGAGCAAGGGTTTGTGAAAGTCCCAGTGTGAGCCATTATTCTGAAATCAACACGGGCTCTCCCGGGGTCTGGCCTTGTATCTCCCATGCAGCCTGGTCAGCAAATCTCCATTGGGATGGCACCAAATCCTCTCAATACTCTGGTTGCCCTTTTGTATTGATGCTGCAGGGATAGGAAGGCATGAGAGACTAACTCACCACTGGGAGGGTAATTTACAATTGATAATATTGAGGAGCAGAGGAGAGATGGAAAGACAGATGAAGCCACTTTGAGTATGGCACCGAGCTAGTTACGCCACTTATGAGCATAATCCGAAATAAAAGCACGAACGTATAAATGGAAAGGGTAGACAAGGTGAAAGAGATAAGTCTCACTCCTAGATACTCATAAGTAAAAAAAGTAATTAAGAATGTAAAGAAAGAGTAAAAGAGAAAAAGAAAAAATCTATGGTATGGACACACACATATACGTACACACACAGTTATCCAAACATCAGAAAATAAGAGCTGAGGGTGCTTCTGCATGATAAAAATCTCAAAAGACAATGGATTGAAGAGTACACTGTTGGCAAAGGAAAAGACTGAGATAAAATCATTTCCATTTCAGTAAGTTATATTTTCATGGTTAAAGAAGGAAATAAAACTATTCTAGGAGAGGCAAGGTGTGTGCTCCAAACTCTGACAGAATGGAGAATGGAGTAGGGCTTGGGATGTAACCACTCCCCATGAAGGGGTGCTTTCTCCCTGTCTCTCTGTCTCTCTGTCTCTTCCTATCAAGTGCATACGCTCTCTGGCAATTAAAAAAAAAAAAGGAAAAGAGGAAGAAAAAGAAAGTTACACTTGCCTTTATGTCACAACTGAGATAGAAACCAAATATGAAGTTAAAAAGAAATACACATAAGGTCCCAGCTAGGGTAGCGTGTGCTGGACACGGTTGCTTGTCAGGCTGGGATCACATGGGAGGCTAGTCTGATACCCAGTCCCGCCTAAAAGCCTGTGTGGTTGCATATACCTGTGTTCCCAGTTACTCAGGAAATTGAGGCATGAAGATCACAACATGGCAAGTGTCTGTCTAAAAACAAAAGAAAGAAAAAAATGCTACACGAACACACACACACTCCACAAATAATAAATAGGCATAATATAAATCGTTCACCATATGAGCTTTGAAATTGTGTTATATCTAAAGAATGCTTAAGTATTTTATTGTATTTTACTGTATATGAAAAGAAACAAAGTTTTACAAAATAATGCTTATCTTATTTTGTGCATGCAATGCATTCTATTTTCTATTTTGCTGTGTTTCTTTTTTGTTCAAGCTTGTCACAAAATATTAAATTGATTTTAAATCCATGATTTGAAAATAATCACAGGTGTATTTTATTACAAAATATAATACAAATGGAAAACATAATTAAATGAAAATATATAATATAAATCAATCATTTTATTTAGTTCCAAACTTTTACATTAAAAAAAGAAAACAGAGAGGATCCAAAGAAGAAAGAAATGTATTGTTTGTCCTCTATAAAGTGACCACAACTCAGGTTGGGGTTGGAGAAGCAGCAGGTTTGTTTTTTGTGTCTGTGGTCTTCGTGTTCTGTTAGGTTCGTGTCTTTTGTTTCTGACATCATCATCATCCGAACCTGCTTCCTATTTTTCAATAACCCCAGCCTCTAGTTACAAATGTCCCCCAGACAGTTTTTTCTTCAAAACTTTGTGAAATCTGCTGGAGAATAGTATGCCAGTATTTCATTCAGGCCACTCCAGAGCTGACCCCAGGTACACAGAGAAGCCGTGAAGACAGTGAAACAATGAGACTTACTACCATTGGGCTGTTTGATCATGGCTTCTGTAGGATGGAAATAGAATGGCAACTTCTTGAAGTAAGCCTTGATGTGCATAAGAAAAAGACTTCATTCCTGAAATTCAAGTCCTATGCTACCACAATAAAGTCATATCCCTCAGTCAAACCTACCACCAGAGTGAGTTAATGAATCTAGAACACCACAGAAGCGATCACTGGTCCCAAGAATGATATTTATTTTTTTTTTAAAAAAAGGTTTTTGATTTCTCTCATGAGCATGAGAAACAGAGAGAGATAGAAGAAAAAGACGATGATCCCCAATAGTGCTTCATGCCATGACAGTGCCTCCCAGTCCTGCACCAGCCTTCTCAGCCAACCAGGATCACAGGGGAGCACTGAGCTCATACAGGTCAACTGAGGGACCAACTCTGTTCTTCCATACATATCAAGCTCTAAGCAGTGGGTTCTCACTGCACCATCTGGCCTACCCCCCACAAAATACATTATGTGTGTAGTAGGACTATCACTCCCAGTCTCTCAGAAGTGAGGCCATTTGGAGAGTATCACAGAAATTAAAAGTACCTCCACCTTCCTGTGTTCTCAGACAATGGCTCCACAGTAATGCTATATCCAAGTGTCTCTAGGTGCTGTAGTCAGAGACGTAGGGGATAAATGATTAAGAGAATATTTATCAGCGTCCATTTTTTGGCCCATTGAGATAGCTATACCCATGTGTAATTACTTCCCCAGCTCCTAACAACAGTTGAAATATATACTCTTCACGATGTAAGGAATTCTACATTGCTTCTCTTCCCTAAAAGGTAGTGGCTAATAGTGTATGAGGGTCCCTAGAATTTCTCCCTATATAAAATAGTCAATAAAAAAAAAAAAAAACACCATGTCTTGGTACTAGCAGATGACACAATGGTTGTAACACTGGACTCCCACACGGCCAGCCAGTACAAGTCCCAGACACTGTGGCTTGAAACTCATAGCAAGCATGTGTGCGCACATGCCCAAGGTCCCAGGAGAAGAATGGAGGAGAAGTGATTGTGGCATGGCCATCCCTCTGAGGGGTGATTTCTCATTTTCCCTCTTACTGTGTTTCTCCCTCTCCAGCAAGCACATGCACTCTAAGGCAAAAAACCTCTAAAACAAAAACAGAACAACGTCTTGTCCCTGGAGGAAAGACAGTAATAGTGATCCTGTGAGAGACATGGAGAGGGGGCAATCATGTCTCCCTGTGCATGGTAGTAAGTCAGGTGGCTGAGTCTGGAGTCAGAATAACCATAAGCATAATTAGGCGCTCAGTGCACCTGTGGCTGCTGGGTCAGACGAGGTTACTCACTGGAACTAATTAGCAAAAGCCCCTGGTACCTGTCATGCAGTTAATAATTTGCTTATTTTCTGCTTTGTTACAATTAGAATGAGAAGAGAATGTTTTCTTTACCTGACTAGGATGAAGCTGCCCCTTTGTCATCTGGCCTCAAAGGTTCCTTGAGTCTTCAGGTCTGAGGTACAGTGTCATTAGCCCCACTAACAATAATACATCAATGAGCACCTTAGGGGCCTTAAAACATAGACACATGTACACATATACACTACAGAATGGAAGATAAACTCTGTAAAAAGTATAGGGCTATGGATAACTTCAAACATATCTTTAAACATTCGAGAAAGTATTAATTTCAGTCTTTCACAAACTACTGTAGAGAATAGAAAATACACTTTATTGATTCAATCAGTGTAGCTATGCTGGGAAGATTTCATTTTCTGTGCTGTGGAGATATACAGTGATTAAATGCAAAAAATAAAATGGTATTAAAAATCAAAATATATATATACATGGTATACTCTCCAACTTGTGAGGCTACTAGTACCTTGCTAAAAAACATGACAATGGTGAAATCAGCAGTTAGTGTAATAGCTATGTCGCTGAACTACCACGTAGTCGACCATGGTTAAAGTCGCGGACCCGGTGGCTTAAACTCACACTGGGCGCGTGTGCGCGCTTCCGCAAAATCCCAAGAGGAGAATGGAGGAAAAGGGACTGCAGCATGGCCATCCCCCCTGGGGGCGGTGATTTCTCGCTTTCTATCTCTCTGTCTTTCTCTGTCTTTCTGGCAAACGCACGCACCCTATAGCAAAAACCTCTCAAAAAAAAAAAAAAATGACAATGTTAGTATAAGAGAAAGGGCTATTAATGGCTAATCTAATCATGAGTATGGGCGCAAAATTATCTACAGATTAATGTAAAATAAATCTAGCAATATATAATATATCATATGAAATAAACCAGGTTTATTCCCCAAGAAGTAGACACACAAGATAAGAATGTGAGTCTAATTTATTTGAGAGGTTCAAGAACACCAATAGACAAAATGAAAAGAAGACAAAGAAGGAAGAATATGTTATCAAACTATAAGGTCTTCTGAAAAGTCATGACTCATTTTTGCATAGAAAAATGCATCATTACTTTTCCAATAACCCAACAG